ACGTTTGTTTCTAGGTTCCAATAGATACTATTGCATCCATTGCAGATAGAGCTAAAGTTAAACAGTAAGCTACAGGTTCCAACTGAAAGCATCTTTAATTTGGGTTACTGAAAGCAAGATATAATTCTAAATAACTGGTAACTTTAAGCTGGTAACTTTAAAGCATTTTGAAACTTTAAACTTGTTTTTCAAAGGCTGTTACGAAAGCTGTTTTGTTTTATAATCTGTGTTAACTGATATGCATGTACATGTTTATGTGGCAAGCTATGTAGTCTATTTAATTAACATAGATGAAAGTGTTCATAGATGAAAATTGCTAAGTTAAATCTCTTCATTTTGTAAATAATTCCTTGAGATTAGGGCCACAGAGAAATCCTCCAACTTCTTAGAATGCTTGAGGAATGACTGAGTATATTCCATTAGATCCTATACAGAAAAGAATAGGTGCTGTATAGATGCTAGATTCTTAACTACCCTGGACGTTAGGACAGAACTTTAGAAACTTACAAATGGGACCTGAACATACCCTGATATCCTCTTAAAGGGGTCACTATGGTCTTACCTTAAAGACCAGGAGGGGATCCCATGGCAGAGCAGGATGAGAGAGGTGTGTGCTCCTGGTTCCAGTGAGACCCCCGGAGGCCTCCCAAGTGCTCTTCGTTGCAGAAGCAATGGACACTTCGCCAGGAATCATCAGAAAGGACACCCAGGGCCGTGTCCCAGCTACCAAGGAGGTCACTGGAGATGTGACTGCCCCTGAAGGCCAAGTACTTCAGGTCAGTCATTTCCCATTGGATCTCCCACATGGGACAGGAAGCAGCCCAAGAACCTGCACAGGCTCAAGGCCATCCACGGACTTTGGTGACACCACGGAACAGCACCCAAGAGCCCCGGGTGGTTCTCACAGTGGAAGGGAAAACTGTAAGTTTCCATCTGGACACTGCCTTCTCTATCCTAGCTAGCTTTGGCTTCTTCCCTCTTACAGTGACCATCAGGGTCTCTCAGGAGCCCCGAATTGGCTTAGGTGACAGAGTAATCTAGAAGCTCAGAAAAGAAGCCATTTTGAGGGAAAAGTTAGTTAACCTGTAACTGTTCAGCCTGCATCAATGACCAGGCTCCTGATAGACATGCTTGCCATCTCGCTCTTCAGTTTTACTAGACTTCACTGAGGTAGGATCCCTGAACTGTCATAAGGTAGACTTCATGTCCTCCTTATTTGCCGAGTTATTTTGGATTTCTCAGCTCATCTACTTAAGATTCTTATGTTCCTCAATTGCCAGTACGTGCTTGTTAACCTGCAAGTTAGTAGATTGCTTGCCTCTGCCTTAAAGTGTATAAAGTTCTGTAAAATCTTGTTGGAATACTAAATAGTTAACATCTTGTGCCATCTACAATGTGATGAGTAGATCTTGTACCAGAATGTTTTAAGTGCTGTGCTTTATGTTCTAGGCTAGATGTCTTCTTGAAACTCTTAGGGCTTACAACGATTGGTAAAGTATAATTGTTTTGAAAAATCAAGCACTTGCCCATTCCCTAGCTAGATGCAAAACTACTATAGCATTTCCAAATGGAAGTTGGCTTGCATTTACCTGTATGTTCTGATGCCACATACTAATCCTTTCATTGTTTCAGATAACAATTTTATACAACCGAAAAGGTTTCATGTGTTCCATTGCATTCATTGGGTATGTTTCAAAATTTGGGATGTGAAATAGTTAAGTTAAACCTAATATAAATCTAGTCCATTGTTTTAATCTAATGTAATGTTTACTCTGACAAAGGTTGAAACCTGACAATTCTTTTATATCTAAGCTTGAAAGCCCAAGTATTCCAACTGGGTTTCTAACTGAACTCATGACCTGCTAAGTTGGGAAAGATTATAATTCTAATATGTTTTGTTATCTAGACCAAGAAAGAGAAGCCTTCAAGTGCCAGGCAGTAGTACTTCAGACATCTGATGACTTCTACCTTCTACCAGGAACCTCTAGAACCCCCCTACTGCTACAGTTCCTCAACGCCCCCTTTCAGCTCGAAGAAGCTAGAGCGGTCGTCGTCCCGTTATCCCTGTTCACTCCTGTTTGGCAATGTGAGGAGTTAGATAGTATGATAGGCAGTCAGGGTCTCTGGTTCCTGGTGAAGCTACTTTGTCTGCATTGACCGTTCAGGAGTAATGAAGAATCCAGTATAACAAGGCCTGGCTAACAGAAAATGAACTCAAGCCAGCTTTTCCAAGGGACTCTTAATAACCCTTCCCTCCATTCCCATCCACTGAAATGTAAAAATTCTTTTCTAATCAAACCATTAACAAGTTTCTTTTGCAGGACTAGAAGCATCCCTCCATCTCCTATTCCCACCAGGCTGCAACCACTGCCAAGAGAAAACAGCTCCTAGAAGCCATAGAGAACAATGCCCCTCTTCCTTTATATATAACAAAAGGGAGGAATATAAGGATTTATTCCAATATCCCACCCTGGACCCTGCGCCATTTCTTCTTCCTCACAGCTCACGGGATTCGCGCCAGTCCAGCCATCCACCAATCAGATGTAACCTGGCATTCCACCTGAGAATCCCACCCCCAATCTCCCAGCCCCTTCCCCAAACCCGCCCACTTGCCAATCATCCCCAGGCATTCACCTGCAGGCACCAATCCCCTGGGGCCTTGACCTCAATCCCTCCCAATCCCCGCCCCCCCACACCTGGCAGACAAAAAAGGCCCCCAGGTGCGGTTCGCCCCTTTTTGCTCTCTCTCTTCCTCTCCTTGGTTCCTCTCCCCTGCTCTTCCTCCCTTCCCTCCCCTTCCCCTGTTCCTGCCCCACTCGGTTCTCTCTCTCTCTCTCTTGCTCTCTCTTGCTCTCTCTCTTGCTCTTGCTCTTGCTCTTGCTCTCTCCTTGGTTCCTCTCCCCTGCTCTCCCTCTCCTCCTTCTTACCTCCCTTCCCCCTCCTTCCCCTTCCCCTTTTCCTGCCTCGCTGGAATAAACTTCCTAAGATATGTCGTTGCGTCTGGTGTTTTCAGCTCACGGTAAAGAACCAGGTTGCGAGAATTAGCTGCGGCGTAAAGTATCTTAATATCGTATAACCTAAAACTAGAACTCTTACATTCTTTTAAATAACTAACAGACATGACCTCCATTTCAGAGGTTGCATCTACAGCTCTGGGTAGGCTGCACTTACCGAAAGACATCACTTCTGAGCAAGAGAGCGGTGACGAGCTCCGATGTCTACACCAACCTGCAGATCTTGTTAAAAAGCAGGTTAAGTCAGCAGGTCTGGGTTGGGCTGAAAGCAAGAGTAGCAAGGAGCCAAGGATTATAATCTTAACGTTCTAGCCTCTAGGTCTATAGTTGTTCATCAAAGTGCCAAAAATAGTTTAGGTGCTTACATCTTGAATAACCTCAGGCCAACTTCAATTTCCCCTCCCACCTAACATACAAGCTGGTGAGCAAATCCAGTTGATTCTACCATGACAAGGTGTAAGGAATGTAACCTCACATCACCACCTGCTCTATTACACCCTGCCCTTCCTATCTCATGTGGGCTGTGGGCTATTTCAATACATTCCTAACTGGCCTCCTAGCTTCTGCTCTTGCTCCACTCTCACTTTCTTCTCTGAAACACACATACTGTAAATTCTTCAAACAGCAGCAGGGGTGATGGCAAACACTGTTTGACCAAGATGCCCTTCTGAAGTTATGCCTCCCCATTCCACGCAAGCTTGCCTAAGTTTCTAGGGGCCTGTCAGATCCTAAGACTGTCTCCCTTTAGCTCCTTCACCTGTCCTTGCAGTTGAACCCACCACACCCGATCTCACAGCCTGGCCTACCCGAATTCTTCCTCTAATGTTAACTGCGTGGCCTTCTTCCTCACTTCCTTCAGTGTTGCCTCAGATCACTCCAGTAGGTTTTTACCTTTTTTTTTTTTGAAACTTTTCTTTCTCCACCACTAGTGTATTTAACATGTATGCACTTGTTTCCCTTACTTAGAATCAGGTTCCATTCAGGTATCTACACTTACTATGCTGAGGACTTTATAGTTTCTAGCATGCAGAAAGATGCTCCATGAATATTTGCGGGGATAACACCCTGTAGCCAAGGGGAGTAGCCTGGGGCCGGAGGCCCTCTCGGGAGGCACTGTTGCCAGCCAGTGAAGACTCCTGTACTTCTCTGGGAACCATGGGGTCTCTTACAATTATTTTTCTACATCCTCTTCTCATGGAACGTAAGTTATATGTGAGTTATTTAAGAGCTGTCCTACAACCCCATGTTGCTGAATTCGTTAGAACTCAGTTTTCTTATTTTCTTTTGCTCACTGTCCACACCTATCCATCCCACCTCAAAGCTGAGGGAGAAATTTCTAAAATTTCATTTAAATTTTAAAAAAGTTTTAAGTAAATCTAAGAAAAAAAAAAGAAGGGGGAAGTCAAATAATTCCCAATACTCGTGCCTACTGGGTACATTTCACCCCATCGTGGCTCAAAATCATGTTTAAGGTGAGCAAGGAGTCTCCAGACTCAAAACGTCATGGGTCAAGCCCACTCTGGGGCCGTTCCACAGGGAACTCCTAGGTTACCGGACCATTGTGGAGAAGCGTTGAGTGGGTCTTTCTTGAAGAATAAAACGAAAACAGAACCTCTCGAGGGGTGGGGGTTTGCTTGCTCTGCGCTGAGGAGGACTTCTAAAAGCTTGAATTGCACCACCCACCCCAAGCTTGCAGAAACCTTTGCTCCCCCCAGCCCCCACCCCCACCAAATAAGGGCTCTTCCTAGGGCAGTCGCCAGCTCCCGAGCCAGCTGCTTGACACCTATTGTCCCCGTTTGGACGCCGAGCGACTTTGCCTGAAGGACCCTAGCTCCCATTTCGCTCCAAAATTCAAAAGCACCGCTGCCAACCGCCTCCTAGGGCCGTCGTGACACGAGAGCAGGTGTCGCCCCCCGCCAGCGCAGGGGCTTGGGCCCGGAGGCGATGCGGGCCGGCTGGCCCCGCCGGGCAGGCGTTCGCGCCGGGCAGCCCCGCTCGCACGTCGCCCGCCCCCCGCGCCCTAGAGGGCCGGCTAAGTCCCTCCCGCTGCCGGCTCTCGCCTCACTAGGAGCGGCTGTCGGTGCGGCGGGCACAGGGCACAGCGGCCTTGCGCCCACGGAACGCGCGACATTGCCCGGAACACACCGCCACCCCTTTGCCCCCCTTAGCGGCCCACTCGAGATCTCCAGCGGCCTCCACGCGCGCACGGTGAGCGCCAGCCCGGACCGAGGAGGCGCCGAAGGGGAAAAGAGGGCCGCCGCGCCGAGTGTGTCCTTTTACCTCCGGATCGCGCCAGTCCTCCCCACCCCCCCCGCCCCCCGCCATTTCCAGTGCCCTTCTCCACCCTCCCGCGCCCTGACCTCTCTCCCCTTCCCGCCCCCACCCCACTCCGCTCCCGTTCTCCGAGCGCGCCCCGCCCGACGCGGACCGTTGCCCCGGCCGTTGGCGGCAGGCGCGGCGAGGCCCCGCCCCCGGCGCGAGCCTCGGGGCCCCGGGGCGGGTGGGCCGAGCGGCGGCGGGCGCGGGGGAGGGGCGGCACGCCGGCGGCCCGCGCACGCGCACGCGCGCCGTCGCCCTCCCCGCGCGGCCGAGCGCGCGCCTGCGCGGCCCCCCTCGCGCCCGCCCCCTCCCCGGCGCCGACCCGCTCCCGCCGGCTGCGCGTTTTGTCCCGCGTCTCGCCCCGTCCGTCTTCTGACTCGCCGCTGTTGTCCTTCCTCTCTCGCTTTTTCTTCTCTCTCTTCTTTCCCCCGCCTTCCACGCCTCGCCGCGCGGTCTCTCAAGATGCCCTCGGCTACCAGCCACAGCGGAAGCGGCAGCAAGTCGTCGGGACCCCCGCCGCCGCCGTCGGGTTCCTCCGGGAGTGAGGCGGGGGCCGCGGCCACGGCGCCGGCTGCTCAGCACCCTGCCACCGGCACCGGCGCCGTCCAGACCGAGGCCATGAAGCAGATTCTCGGGGTGATCGACAAGAAACTTCGGAACCTGGAGAAGAAAAAGGTGCCAGGCCCCCGGAGGGAGCGGGTGGACGCGCTGCGGCCGGACTGTGCGCCCCTGGCCCCGTCCCCGCGGCCGGCGGGGGCTCCCGGGGAGGAGGTGCTGGCCACCGGCCGGCCGCGGCGCTGCCCTGGGTGCGGGTGGGGGCAGCGCGGGGCAGGGCTGGGGGCGCAGGGCCGGGGGCTGGGCTGGGGGCGCAGGGCCCGGGGTTAGGGGCGCAGGGCCCGGGGCTAGGGGCGCAGGGCCCGGGGCTGGGCTGGGGGCGCAGGGCCCGGGGTTAGGGGCGCAGGGCCCGGGGCTAGGGGCGCAGGGCCGGGGGCTGGGCTGGGGGCGCAGGGCCCGGGGTTAGGGGCGCAGGGCCCGGCGCTGGGCTGGGGGTGCAGGGCCCGGGGTTAGGGGCGCAGGGCCCGGGGCTGGGCTGGGGGCGCAGGGCCCGGGGTTAGCGGCGCAGGGCCCGGGGCTGGGCTGGGGGAGCAGGGGCGCAGGGCCCGGGGCTGGGCTGGGGGAGCAGGGCCCGGGGCTGGGCTGGGGGCGCAGGGGCGAAGGGCCCGGGGCTGGGCTGGGGGCGCAGGGCCCGGGGTCCGTGTGTGCGAGGCCTGCCCCTCCGCGGCCGAGCAGCGTCTTTGGAACCCCCGGACCTCCGGCCGGCCCGTTTGGGGCTACCCCCCTCGGCCCCAGCCCACGGCCTTCTTGCGTTTCCCTCTTTGTTTCAATTGTCCGGCTGTGCCCCCCGCCCTCGGGCCTCGCTCACGGCCTCACTGTGGGGTGACTTTCTGCGGAGACTCGTTTTTTTCCTCCTCCCTGCCCCGGGGGATCTGAAGCGGGCCAGGGCCCCGCGACGCCGCCTGGCTGGGGGCTGGGTGCAGGTCGGGCTCCGGGCACATGGAGAGCGCGGCTAACATGGCGGCTGCGGGAGAGGGGAGCTTGCAGGAGCTGCATTGTGAGCACAAAGCGAAAGCGGAGGGGAGGGCGGGGAGCCGCGGCCGGGCCTCCCGCACCCCTCCGAGAACATCCTGGAGCCACACCCACGGCCTTTTCGGATTCCACGAGAAGCCCGCGAGCCCACGCCGGGAGGTGTAGCGGTCAGCCTTTTGTTCCAGGCACCGACCATGGGAAGGGGCTCGACAGGGGGCCGGGCGAGCCCCCCTGAGTCAGGTTAGAGGTGAGAGGAGAAAAGACCGAGTAATTCCTAGGTGGATGTCAGGGCCACTGCCTTTACCTTAAAGCAAAGCCCAACTTGTCCGTCTGCAGTACCACATGCTGTGTATCGAGGGCATTTACAATTGTTTGTTTAGCTGATCACCTCACAGTGCCAAGGTGGCAACGGGCAACATTTTGGGCTTTGGTCTTAGGCTTTAAATGGCCATGGTTGCTTAGTTACTGATTTGTTTTACCCTTTTGGGAGGGTTTACAACATTTAGATTTGATATTTCTGGCTTAATTCCTCGAATAGTGAAGGCTGGAAATTTCAAGGATTTTTTTAAATCAAGAAAGGCAACACTAGTTGTTTTTTCCCGTCAATCCTTTATTTTGATAATTGTGCTTTATTGTATGTGAATAGCATAATAGATTTACCTGTATGAACAAAATCAACAGTATTTTGAGTGTAATGTAGTAATGTAGCTTCTAGCACATTGAAGCATGTCCAAGGCCTGAGAGCTGCCAGTGGGGTTTAGCTCTTGGTACTCTATTTTGACATCCACTTTGCTGTCAGCACTCCTGTCAGTCTGGCTGAGGTTGACTGCCTTCATTTTCAGAATTTCTTGGAAATCTCTTTCGGATTAGAAATCAGACTATAAATGTTAATCACATTTTTCAGTTTGGTAATTTATATTAATGGTTGAAGAAATAACTCTTCAAAGGTACTAAAATGAGGCATTGGTACATTCTGGTGTTTAAGTACCTCTGAAAATTAGGAACCTGGTTTATAGTGCCTTGAGGCGGGTCGGGCACGTGCTCGACGTGTGTACCAGTGGTGTTCCCTGCATGGTGGTGTGGAGATTTAACCAACTGAGCAAAATAATACTTTCCATCTTCTGCCTTTTTTAGAGTTCTGGGTACTAGACGGCGGAAAAGTCAAGTTACACAGTGAGGGAGGCTTCTTCTTTAGCCAAAGCTTGAGTGAGGGCCTGTTAACTAAGTAGCCAAGTTGGCCTTACTCAAGCTATAACTTATTAAAGTAAGACTGTATTTTATTTTCTTGTGAAACTCACCCACCCGTTTGGATTATCCTTTACACAAATTTGGGTTTTAGTGAAATTTTTTTTTTTTTAATCAGCAGCTGCAGTCCAGGGAAACGGTCTTTTGTTTTTCAATTGGAAGAACAGAGGTTATTGGGAGAGGGTGAGATTTTCCATCTGCTGGTTCACTCCCCAAATGCCTGCAACAGTCAGCTGAGCCAGTCCAAAGCCAGGAGCTCTTCTGGGTCTCCACCAGGGTGCAGGTCCCAAGGGCTATCTCCTCCACTGCTTTCCCGGAACACAGTTAGGGAGCTGGCTGGGAAGTAGAGCAGCCAGGACACTAAGTAGCACCCAGTGGGATCCAGGCTTGCAGAGGATTAGCCAACTCAGTCAAGGCATTGGCCCCTGGTTTTTAACTATTGTTAAGGTTGACTGAGATTCATGTTCAATAGGGGTTTTTCTGATACATCTGAAATTACTTTGCTGTTGAATAGAATAGCAATAGATTTTGTTTTGAATTCCTCTTTAGCAACTACTCTTTACAACTTCACATTTTATTTATCTATTAACCCGTTTAGTAACTTACATTTGACTTGTGTTTCAATCTTGATCTATTATTGGAACTTTGTGGACTGAAATATCTCCTCTCAATGGATTCTTGCATCTTGATAAAGATTGCCAAAGGATATATAGTGTGTCTTCAAGGCATGGGGCACTATAACTATTTCATTTTAAAAAACAAAGTTATTTGTTTGAGAATGTGCTGAGTGTTAATGAAATATGATTCTGTTATGTCATGCAACTAAATGGCTTGGTGGTTTTTGAAATTGGGGTGTTAGGACTGCATGAACATGTGGCAGAGAATATAGCTGGATGAAAAGATTCAAGTTTAAAACTGCCACTTTAGAAACCTTAAGTGATTAAAGTTCATGTAATACTGAAGTGAGTGGTTTACTGCTTAGATTTCTTCATCAGTAGGTTCTGTATTGGGCTCTAGGCTATGTTAAATATTTTGAAGCCAGGTCTTTCAGCTGAAGAAGAGAGCTCATGTGATATTCTAAGTCACCAGTTTAATATATAGAGAATGTCTTCATACATTCCATTTAAGTTCTACTCCTTAGGTTGCAGTGGATTTAAACTGGTCTTTAGGAGGTGCAAGATAAAATGTGGCTTGGTTAAAAAAAAAATTGGTAACAAATATGTGAGCTAAAACTGATAGTCAAAATTGTAGTGTTAAGCAAAGTTGTGTTTTTTTTTATATTAGTCCAGACTGTTTGCACTTGCCTCTTATTGCAGTAATAATTTTAGAGAGAGGCTATTGTGAGTGTGACATTTTCTTGTAGAGTATTTCATTGTCCTACTTAGAATTTTCAGTGTAAATGTTTTGAAATAAGCGTTTTAAACTAATTTTTAAGTACAAAACATCCAAAGTGCTTTGTAACGTTAGGATCTGTGATGTGTTCGCTTTTCCCTGGGCTGCCAGAAATATTCCTCTGCAATGCAGAGAGCAGGAGGGCTTACTTTACTTTGTTTTGCATTCCCCTCGTCACATTAAAAAAGCAGTAGTGCTTAAACTCTTTCCCTCTGCGTGTATGTAAGGGATATCGGGAAGGTATTTAAAAGGAGACTAAAAAGCTGGGAGTTCCTATATTGGGTGCCTTTTCCTAAGTCAGTAGCATCCCAGTGTTTATGAGAATGAATTATTTCAGTCTGTTTTTTCCTAGGGTACTTCCCATGAGGTACATATTTGAATGAAAATACATTTTGTGTAAAACAATTTGTGGTAATTTTTGTGATTCCTAATTTTATGTTTGCAGCTAAGTGAAAGATGAGTGCTGTCTGTTTCATTGCTTTTATTATTTTTTTTTTTTAATTTTTATTGGAAAGGCAGATATACAGAGAGAAGGAGAGACAGAGATCCTCCCCAAGTGGGCTCAGTGACTGGAGCTGAGCCGATCCGGAGCCAGGAGCCTCTTCCGGGTCTCTCATGGGGGCTCAGGGTCCCAAGGCTTTGGGCCATCCTTGGCTGCTTTCCCAGGCCACTAGCAGGGAACTGGATGGGAAGTGGGGCAATTGACACACAAACTGGGACAAAAACCATAGGGAATCCCAGCGGAGGCAAGGCAAAGGACTTCAGCCACTAGGCTACCGCGCCAGAACCAATACTATTTGTTTTTTTAAAAAGGTATTAGTTTGCATTAGGCTAAATGTACAGCAACTTTTGTCTGCTGGTCTTAATTTTATTACTATGCTGTTAAAGAGCCTAAGCTGGTTTTTTTAGGAGTTTTAAGACACCTTAAAATTCGTCTCAATTCATTTTACAGAATAGAAGCTTGAGTTGTTTATATAAAGTGGCCTGGGTTGTAATGGGTGATATCCGAAGTCTCTTGTAATGTTTTATGGGGGTGATTAGGATTTGTAGTGACTACGATGTAAGTGTACTTTTTTTGTGCTTCATTATTTAGAAATAAGTAAAGCTTTTTGCTTCTTAGCTTTTATTTTGTTAATAGTCCTTACTTTTCATTAATGTGTTTTAATAAGCTAACTGCAGAAAAGAGAAGTTTTTCCTTTCTTTATTGTCACACCTTTTTATTAATATGTTAAATGCTATGTTTGAAGATTGTTAATGGAGTCCTGAGGAAAATATTCAGGTGAAGGCCTAGTGTATCAGGTGTTATTGGAACATAAACTTGTATTAAATTCCCAAGTTTTTTTTTACCTTAGGTAAGCCCTCAGTGCATATTTGCTGGCCTCAAGTAAATCTTTTCATGTTGTTAACCAGAAACATTCAGAAACGGTTTTGTCTGGGAGAAGTAAGTGTGA